GGGGGGGGGGGGGGGGGGGGGGATTTCCACGTACACCAACGGCAGTTTTGATGCATGTTCCGTACAGGAGTCGCTGGTTTTGCTGGTCAAGGTTTATTCGCACCTCCCTGCGTGCGCAATAGCGGACACCAAAGATTCAGGTGACAAAAACGCACGGCGCGCACTCAGTTCGGGCCTTTGTTTACTACGTAGCGTGACAGAGGTACAAACTAGTGCTTCCAGGAGCAGAACAAGTGACGACATGGTGCGAAGTCAGCGAATTTCGTCGCACACTGCCATTCTCGGTCTCAGCGCCATAGCCTTGCTGAAAATAGGCGTAGCTGTGGTGGGTCGGCTTTGCATTTCCGGGGAAAATGAATTTGTCACGCTTGAGCGAGGTGTGGCAGACGTTCCAGCCGCAAAGTAGATACCAGTATCGGCGAAAGAAACTCGTGTTCCACTCTTCTTGGCTATCGGTTGGTTGTGACATTGTGACGTTGTGACTGAAAGCGCTAGCTTCTCCAGCTTGGTACCGCCTTGCTCTTGCGGCATGAAACCTGCACGAGAATCGACAAAGTCAAACCGCCGGCAGACCGCATAGTTATAACGTGTGTCGCGCCTACGGCAAAACGTGCAACCGGTGCTAGGAAGCCGGTGGAAAAACGTCACAAGAAGTCCGGCAACAGACCGATCTTTGTCACTGCATCTTACCCGACAGCTTATTGTTGTACAGGAGGAGCTTCTCCAGCTTGGTGAGGGCTCCCAGCTGCTTCGGAATGGATCCTGTACAAGCGACAAGCGATTGACAGCCACCGTTCTGATACCACGTAAGCTTCGGATCTAAATATACCCCAATTGAATGACCTGTCCGTCGGTGGGACACATGCTCCGGGGGGAACATTGCGCTTTTTACTTCGGGTTGCATCGCACCTTTTAGTTCGTTGTTGTGCAGCGAAAGCACCTTAAGGTTGTTGAGGTGTCCCAACGCCTCGGGGATATGCCCTGCACGAGCAGCACAGCGGAAAGAATGATGAATAAAGACAAGTAGGATGTCCGTCTCGCCCACGCATGGGTGGCATTTAGATTTCCGCAATCTCCGAAAAACCAAACGACTTACCGCTCAGCCAGTTCGCATCAAGAGCCAGATGTTCCAAAGCGCCAAGCTTGCCCAGCTCCGGCGGTAGAAACCCTGCGTAGAAAAATGCGCAAGGTCGTGGGCACGAGTAAACGCTCCACAAATATCACCACGATATTCTCACACATGTCTACGGCCCGTCCACACCCTGCCCAAGCTTTGGCGAGACAAATATTCTAGATTGCGTGGCCTCATGCCCCGAAACTACGGAGTACGATTGCAGTGGTCTGCTATGCTCGGAAGTGTTGCAGCGTAGAGACACGAAAAGCTGGCATCACGGCGAAGAAATTCACGTTCAAGTGGTACCTAGCAGTAGAAGCCACCGTGGACCGTTCCGTTCGAAGATTTCAGGGAATTTGCGACCTCGTGGAAGGGATCGTTTCTGTCGACGAATGCTCGGGAAGGATCAAGCTAACAATCGCCAGAGAGGGAGCATGAAATCATAATCTCTGCAAACGTCAACGCCAGTTGTACCTTCGAGGTTGTTGTTGTACAACGACAACTTAACCACGCGGCCTTCGGCGTTCACGTCGACCCCGTACCATGTCACAAGCCCCTCACTTGTGCCCCAGTTGTCCTTTTCCCTCCAATTGGCCCCACGGGTCTCGTGAAACAGGGTGATCAGTGCGTCACGATCCGCCGACGCCATTGCACAGAGGGGCTGAAGGATTTCAAAGACGGTTACAGAACATAGCAAAATACCAAACTGGTGAGAACGGAGCTGTTGTCAGACGACACGGCCATGAAATACCGTGAACGTGCGAACAATCGCACTAGAATAGGGTTTTAAAGGGTGCAATGAACGTGGGAAATGCCGGCCTCCGGGTGTGCGATCGAGTTTTCTCGATGCAGGCGTTTCCGTCGTGCTCCACTGCTGTGGTCACAGCCTCGCCGTGGCGACACATTCGTGGAATCGGTCACTGCACATTCTCTCAACCAAGAACCAACGGGCAAATCCACACCTGCATGCCGCAGCCAACGTTACCCAATATTCGTCTACTCTTGACACCGTCGCTCACGACTTGATGCAAAGTATTGGGCTGGCGGATCTACCCAAACTTCCGTTGCATACACGTACCACTTCTTGAGCACCAGGCCGTAGAACGGAATACCGCCTCACAGAGCCAAGACCTCTTGAAGCTACCGACTGACACAAGCCAAAAACGCAAGGCCAGTCATACGAACAACCAACGCGGTCAACATTCTTTGTGGCCGCCAATTACATGGCTCGACGAAATATAAGAACCGTCCAAATGCGCAAGGCCCAAGCCGACTCGCTGCAGGTGCGCACTCCTGCGGGAGGATGTGTCCAAGGGCGAGGTCCGAACTCAGCAGCCGTATGTTGCACCAAACCACTTTTGTTCTGCGTAAGCGTAGGCAGGCGGAACCGACGGGACCAGGATATCTCGACGACGTGTCGGTATGGACCCATGATGGAGCGGCGGGGGGGGGGGGGGGGGGGGG